CTACCCACCAGAATTTATTCGGAAATATATGAAGAATCGTAGAAAAACTAAGACTAGCGATTAAAGTGACGAAAATAAAATATAGAATTCAAAGCCTGTGTAGTACTGTCCTATTGAAAAAGGAACGTCAAAGGCGCTACGTAGGATTCTCAGTGACGCTGGAATTAGGGTGCCATTTAAACCAATCGACCTACTCTCTCTCTCTCTCTGAGATGAAGTTTGTCGCCTTAAGGACCTGATAGATAAATATATTGGAGACAATAGGTGACATGGCTCAAAATCGTTGTCAATGGCGCAGATGTATTCACTCTCTGTAATCTTTTATATTTCTTTCTACCATTACCCATTCTGTTTCACTCTTATACTTGTCAAACTCTATTGATTCCCTTCACTCATCTTGTCTACCTTTGTGTGCTATATGGAACGTGGCAACTCGAACTGCTGCACTTCGGTGCCAAGTTCTATGTTGAATCCAGACAGAGACAGACAAATCCATCTTAATAAAAACATTACGTACACCGTCCGAATCTTTGTTCAAACTTTACTGTCCTGTTGGCTGGATGTCCCCAAAAGCCAGTGCACTCAGGAATGCATTTTATAACATATATCATAGGCTATTATAACTGAGTGGTTGCTGAAGATGGGAGTCGACGGCTGAACAGTCTTTCTTACGTTTACCTCATTATCAACTTTGATACGAGTTGTCAGATAGTCAAAGTAACTCCTAGTCCGAAGTAACTTCACCCATCTAAAAATGTATAGAGTTGCACGAAACCACTACTTTGACTGTCTTTTTACAAACCAAGACATTATTTGAAGCGTCAATTTATTTCCGTCATCGTTAATTTAGATGGATGCGTTTCCCTGTTTGTTTAATCTGGTGAAAATCACGATACTGGTAGCGATAAAATGAAATTCAATTTACAACATTTTACTAGTTCAATGGTAAATTACGCCTCCAAAAGAAAAATTGTGTTTAAGAGATAACATGTGCTTTCCCAAAGATCTTTTTGTCTCCAGCGTTTTTGTTACGAAAATGAAGTGGTCTATATAACACATACTGGTACAAAATACTGAAAGCTTCTGTTCTCTGTATGTGTAGAAGTCGTGACCAGTAGGGTACAGCAGGTCGGGTATGAGGACAAATACTTGCCGCCGATGACATTGGCTAGTAGTCGCCCTATGTTGTAAATTAACAGAAGTTGGAATTCGTGGGCCGTTGGATCGGGTCCTAGTGGCTTAATGGTCTACGAGAGGGCTCACCTTGTAACCAGAAGGCCCTGGGTTCGAACCCTGGCGATGGGTGTGTACTGATTATTAGACCCAAACAAGGCTGACGAAACAGTTGTCCAATACTCTCAGGTTTTCCGATGGTTCTCTAACCAATGTCAGCTCATGTTGGAATCCTGCAACCAATGTAGATAAATTTATGAAATTTACTCCGAAATTTTTGTGACCTGCGTGAAACATAGATGAGTAGCTTTCTCTGCACACAATTTAATCTGTAGATATCGATTACTTTATTGTTATAAGTCATTATCTAACAGAATCATCCTTCTAAAAGTAGTCTATTGGAGTGGGATCTAAACTCTGTACATTCCTTTGGATAAATATTTAAAAAAAATTATATTCCTATCTAAAGTCTGTCTGTTTTCGACATAGAACTTTGCACAAATGTGCGGAAGTTCAAGTCGCCACACTCCGTGTAGCACGCGAAGCAAGAGAAGAAAGTACAAGAAAAGCATAATAGAGACAGTGAGCAGAGGTGTGAGACAAAGGAGGAGTAATAACGAAGAACAAAACAGTTTCATTGGTGGAGATCATAAGTCACAAGGAGTGGATGCATCTGCGCCACTGAGAACGATTTTGAGCCATGTCACCAATTGTTTCCAACCATAGATTTTTACCGTCTCGAGGACCCCAGCCTGGAAGTCTACACCTTCCTACATGGCTTAGACTAACTGTTGTGGATTTCATTGACTGGTGCCATGTTTTTGTTTGACCGCCGCTAGCTTTTTTCCAGCCTGACCCTATATCCGCTAACATAGCTCGTCGAGGGAGGCGATGACTTGGCATACGTAACACATGTCCTAACCATCTCAGTCTTTGTAACTTCACGACTTCGTCGATTGATTTCCCCTGTTTACCTAGAACTCGACGCCTAACCTCAATGTTGCTCACCTTATTATGCCACTTTACACGGGAAATAGAGCGCAGGCACCTATGATCAAAGACAGCTAGTCTTTTCATGTCTTCCACTCTCAGTGGCCAGGTCTCACAACCATAAAGGAGGACGGAGCGGACTGATGAGCAGTGCACCCGCCCTTTGGTCGATAGTCGAACATCTCGTCTACGCCAGAGTCGGCGTAAACTGGCAAATGCGAAACGAGCCCCCTGTATTCGCTCTGAGATTTCGTCAGAGATCAACCCGTTGGGGTTGATGGTACTTCCCAAATAAGTGAAGCGGTCAACGTGCTCCACCACTTCACTTCTTATTTTTAAACTAGGCGTCGATGTAGTCCAGTCCTGTAACATCATCATCTATCGTAATTGGCTGTTACCCAATTATATTCTAAGATAGTAGTATATTTGTCGTTATCAATCCATTTGCATGTATGTGCGTCGGTGGCACAGTGGTTAGGACTCTCGCCAACCATGCACATGGTCCGAGGTTCGATACCCTGCCGACGCACACCTGATATCTATGGTCGGCCTGCGAAATTTGGGCTACTGATATCTCATGCTGAAAATTCCATACTTGTACCAAAAATACGGTGTGGAATCAAGCTGTAATCAAAAAATAAAATATAGTGTATGTCGTGTGTTAATGTCAGTACATGGATTAGTTTACACAAAGCTACCGAAGAATGTATGAGTTTCGACTAGAGATTAGAATATAAACGCGGAAGAAAGCGGTCAAATGTTTATTTTACCTAATTTACACACAAAAGGCATACTGTGGTGAGAGCTATCTGCTAGCCAAAACTAGTAGACAGCAATTTACTTCCCAAATCTTGGTCATGAGAAAAACCAGAACAAAGAATTTGTGTGGGCGGATACGACTCGCAGATAATGTCTGACCTTCAAAGAAACGGCAGAAAAGAGATAACAGATTAACTTTCATCGGGAAAACAACCAATCAGAAGACGCTGTTTCTCTCCTAGTAATAACGAGTAACAACGTACATGAAAGCATATAAATATCTCATGATTTCCTCAATAAACGATCTGTTTCCTGGCCATTGTCTTCAGTCGTTACAATACTACAGTCATTTTGATGTGGTTGTGTTTTCTGAACTGGATAGTTAATTTGCGAAGCTTTCATCGTCTTACTAGGCGACATCATCCGTGGATATCCACGGAATTTCATCAAAAGACATATACCCCCAAGGCAACCTACCAAATCAAAGGCCCCCAAGGAAAACACAGAAAATCGCCCTACCATATATATAGGATATCTCAGAAATCACTACAAGACTCTTCAAACCTTTAGGAATTGACGTCGTACACAAACCAACAAAGTCATTTCACCCACTTCTATGTCACCCCAAAGACTCAATAGCAAAAGAAGATAAAACTAACATCATCTACAAAATAAATTGTAACAATTGCGAAAAACACTACATTGGCCAAAGTGGATGTCCCCTTCGACTTCGTATCCATGAACATAAGCTAGCCGTCAAAAGACATGATATTCACTCCCTCATATCGCCTCACTGCATACGGATAACCACGGACATCAATTCAACTGGGACAATGTTCAAATATTACACAGAGGAAACAACAAGAATGCTAGAGAATTTTTAGAAGCTTGCCTGGTATTCCAGTGAATCATCAATCAATACACACATCGAGATAGATAAAATATTCCAACCGATAAGAAAGAAACATCACACACAAATAGTCAAAGTTCAAGTCAAAGAAACAATCAGTTCCAATACAAGCAATAGCCTAGAAGGTGTGAAAACACACAAAAACAACCAATCACGTCCAAGGTCACCAGAAGAGATGATTAATAAACTCGTAGAGAAATCTAAAAGCCCACTTAAAATTGAAGTATGCGCTGTTGCGTAGTAGGGCGATGAAAGCTTCCCAAATTAACTATCCAGCTCAGAGAACACAACCGCATCAAAATCATCCACCTGAGCTACAAATCTCCTCTGTCCTATCTAATACTACAGTCACTTTATTTTACTACTCACTCCTAGAAGGAGGATATACAATGCTTACAAATTACAATCGATGCAACAGGTATTGCAAACTAAGAAATATATTGGAAATATTCAGTTAACTAGACTGCAATACTGCCATTCTTTATTGCAGTAAATTGGGCTGATTTGTCTGAACAATGCAAAGTAATGTCACTGTGATATGCTGGATCAACTGATTATTCGAACTTATATACGACCAAGGACCTTTTATAACTATCAAAAATTACTATAAATTCCCCAGCGATCCTAATAAATTTGTTTTCAGTCATTCTTCAGTTCCGTTATCAACGATACAATTAAAAGCTTTATCTCTTCGACTAAAATTCTGTGACGTTAATCTTAACAGCAACAGACTTCATGTGTATATTCAGTTCGAGAACCTCATACGCCAAACTCATGATATTACTCCAGTTTCCGACACTTTAAGTCAACAATCTTGCTGAACTTCGTGTTCTCTTCTTTCTAACTATTATAAACCACCCTTAAAATTTAAAACAATAGTGAAAAAGATTTCAACAAGTCAGCTGAAATATACGATTGCATTTTTCTGTTATATACATAGAGTGATCTACTATGTAGTCACTTTACTATATAAAAAAATCAACAGGAGTTACCGTTAAGGAAAAAAATAAGAATGGAAGCAACCTCAGTTATAAAATACTTCAAAATAACTAGATGAATCCTTCTGGTAATAAGAAAGAACCAAAATAAAATACATATGTGTTCTGTACAGTTAGTCTGTGAATTCAAGTGGTCAGTAATCCATGTTTTTCTCTTTCTCTTCCTCTTATCAACTTGGTGGTGGTGGAGCTGACTGTTTGTCTTCCAATTTTCTTTTAATCAGAGCCTTGAATTGAGCTTGTAATTTAGCTTCGCGTTTAGCTCGTTCAGCATGATTAAAGTGTTCCAGAGCACGTTTCTCATCAGCTGAATATATCTGATTTTCTTTACGTAGACGTACAGCTTCCATTCGTCGATGACGACTACCTGACATAACATAACCCTGTTTTTCAAATGATTCAATTTCATCCGAAGTTAAGCCAATTTCACCACGACGTGGTATACGCTTGCCTTCAGCGATGTAGGCTGCCATAGCTGCACCTTCACCTGGAAGTAATGCACGACCATAATCTAGTGGGATTAAACTTGAATGTTCATTAACTGGTAGGACTGGTCCAACTGCTTCCTCTTCTTCCTCCTCTTGTGCCCGTTTACGTTCTAACTCACGTTTTTTAGCTTTCATTTGTTTGATAAATTGTTGTTTTTCATCTTCGCTATCTACAGCAGAAGATTCAGATTCTGAAGACGATGAATATGAAGAAGATGGAGAAGAAGGGGAAGATTTTCGACTGACATGTTTATTTTTGTGTTTTTGTTTTTTAAGTTTGTGACTCTTTTTAGAGGATTTTTTATGCTTTTTCGAGTGTTTATGATGCGAATGATGATGACGATGACTTTTGTGTTCATCCTTTTTATGTGAACGAGAAGACTGCATATCTGTAGGAAGACTCGGTCCAAATGCTTCCCTACGAAGCATAGACTCATTATCTGAATCGTAGTCAGAATCCACTTTAGGTGGATTCGATTCCCATATCTGTGAATTCATGGATGCTCCAGCGCGTTCACGCATTGTACGGCGTTTTTCCCAAAATTCTGGTGTTTGATTATTGAAATCATTATTCTTACGGTGACGACCATCATTTCCATGACTTGCAGATAAAGTTGGAGATTTCGATCGAGAATACCGTTCGTTACGAGGACGTTTGTCTTTATAAGAATGTCGACTACGTTCATCGTTTTTATGCATAGAATTATTAACCGACATGTTGTCATAATCATTTCGAGTGGGACTTGAATTTTTTGATTCCATAAATGGAGATCTGTCGTATCGTTCTTGACTTATTGTTACCATTTCTGAAAGGCCACAAACAAAAAAAATTAATTACAACCACAACAATTAAAATGAAATGCTGATGATTTCCAACAATTATGAACTATACTCATTGACTGAAACGTATGAGAAAGAAGGATAAGTATTGTAAAACCAATACATCTAATATAAAATGGATGGTACAATCCTCGTGATTACACATATGTTTCAACACTAGTCCTTTACAATATTTTATTCTTAACGCAATCGTTATCACACTCTGCGTTTGCTATACATTTCAGCCTTAATTCTTACCCCTTGAAATCAGTCACCCTTTCCATAATATAACATTTCAATTAAAAGAATGAAAATGATTGGTTAAATGAACAGGGGTTCATGCAAAAATAGGGGTAAGCAGTACAGCAGTACATGTTTATGACACACGGCAAAGTAAACCTAACAAGCATGTTGGATTCCACTGCATGTGAATTAATACTTACAAATAGGTTTGTGCAACAAGATGTATACTACATGACGGTTTATTTAACTCCTCAGCTTTTAAAACTTAAATGTGAAGTAGGATTAAGATCTATAACCTTCTAAAGAAACAGATATCATTCTACAGTTATTATGAAAAGGCTTCGAAAACTATGGTGTAACTTATAGACCCACGGAGTTAACTTAGGACCAGCAAGTGCATGATACGACTGATTAGTCTCAACGTAGAATTTCCCCACAGATGTGCAGCAGTTCCAGTTGCCACTTTCCTTCCATGTAACACACAAAACAAAAGAAGAGATTCAAGAGAGAGATAATAAACAGAGATATGAGGCAAAAAGAATAGTAATTTGGAAAAACAATAGAATTCTGTTGGATGTGATAAATCAGAAAGAGTGAATGCGTATGCGCCAGCCATTCAGAACAGTTCTCAGCCACGCCACTAATTGTCTCCAGCCATTTGCTCTGAGAATCCTGAGGACCCTAACCCAGATCTCTACACCTCCCTACGTGGCTGGCCTAAACTGACTGTAGTGGATTTTATTGACTGATGAAGCCACATTTTCGTTTAGCCACCACCAGCTCCTTTCCAACCTGATCTATCCTATGTCAGCTAACATCGCCCGTTGAGGAAGGTGATGGCTAAACAGGCATGTGAAACACATGTCCTGATCATCTGAATCGGTGTAACTTCACAACCTCTTCAATTGGTTTTCTCTCCTTACCTAACACTTGACGCCTAATTTTAATATTGATCACTTTATTAGAGCACTTAACACAGGAGAGAGAACGCAGACACCTATAATCAAAGACAGCTAGCCAGGCTTTTGATGCCTTCCACTTTTAATGGCCATTTCTTACAGTCATAAAGTAGGACAGAGCAAACAACTAAGCAGTACACAAGCCCTTTGGTCGACAGCCAGCTGGATATCACGTCTACGAAGTCAGAAATGGCGTATGATGGAAGAGTCTTCTGTATCCGTGCTGGGATTTCGTCAGAGATCAACCCGCTCGCACTGACTGATGCAACTTCCCCAACCAGTGAAGTGGTCAACACGCTCCACTAACCACTTCACTCCCTATATTTAAGCTAGGAGTCAATGTAGTCCAGTCCTGTAGCATCATCTTACATTTGATAGGAGCGAATCGTGTGCCAAACATTTGTAGATTGCAGCTTAAGGTGTTTAGAAGACTTTGCATTTTGTCAGCGTCTTCGCTTAGAAGGACTATAACGTCTGCAGATTCTACGTCAACAAGATTATTACCTGGTAGTAAGTCAATCCCTGAGTTGCTGAAGTCACTTAGGGTTAAGTCCATTAGTACATCTATGATGAAGCTGAATAGATATGGGCATCCCTGACGGACAACACTAGTTGTCACCACTTCAGATGACAACTCGCCGTAAGCCCTCACCTGACTGTATGAGTACCAGTAGAGTGCCTTAATCAGTGCAATGTATTTTCTCGGAATTCCCTTTACAGCCAAGCATCTCCAGAGAATTCCTCGGTCGACAGAATCGAATGCCGCCTTAAGGTCAAGAAATATAACGACTGTTGGACGCCGGTAAGAATATCTGTGTTCCAAAATCTGTCGGAGGGTGAAGATATGATCAATACACCCTCTTCCTGGTCTAAAGTCTGCCTGGTTCTCTCGTGTTTGTTCTTCCCGAGCGTCGCTTAGTCTACCCATGATACCCGGCCGATAACTGCTACCTTGTCGTGGTGGTCTGGCTTGAATACCGTAATGACCCAACATGCTAAGCTGACTGGAACTCTGTCTCCGCAGGTCCTACCATGTTAGGATGGTTGTTTGGATAGCGGTTAAACTAAAAGCAGTTACCATGGGGTACATGGGCTCCAGTATCCAATCGGATCCAATGGCGTATGAACCCGTATGGGTCACCGGAAACCATGGGAATGCAGCTCCTGACGCTACTCCGCTGCCTTGAGGATTAGACTCTAAATCAAAGGCTCGGGGGTGGTCCTTTAATAAAACCACCTGCTTAGGTTTGGGCGCCTGGGCAGTATCTCAGCCCTCACACAATGAACTGAATGAAGCAACAAACAATCAATGAAACTCATCGTGTGCTATTACACGTGTTGCAATTTCCTTCTTTCTTCCCTTCCCGATGATAGTTAACGAATACTGTTTGAACTTGTTAAGCATGACTGTTTTCCTTCCAGATGAAGTTCTTTATCCGCTCTCTACTTATATATTTTTTTCTCTTTCTTTTCTTTTTGATCTACGTTGTTTTATTATTATTGTGTGGCGCATCCTTCTTGGTGCCATATTGTACCAAGTTTTTATGCGTTTAAATAAATAAATAAAAATACGCATGATTAGAACCTAGAACTTTAGATACCACATTGGTCAACCTATTCTCCCTGTGGTTATCATAGGAAAACTTGTCTCCCTTCATGTATACCGGAATAATCAACGACTTACACCAGCCCAACAGTAATATCTCTGGTTCCCTGGCACTGTCTAATACCTTAGTTAACACAGACAGTAAACTGTCTCCAGCGTCCTTAGACACCTCTGGAGTTATTCCATCAAGTCCCACTGCTTTGGATTCGTTTCAGACAAGTGACAGCCTTAGTTACCTCAGTTCGTGATGGAGGACCTGTGTTTATATCCCATTCAGTCATATAAACTCACATTGATATGCTTCACTCTAAGTAGCGAAGTGATAGCATAAGGCTTCAGACATCATGCATCGCTTAAAACTTAGTAAGTACGAAAAATAAATATATTGAGTACCTAAGTTGTAATGCCTTCAATAAAATCTAACTATTCTGAATAATTGTCAAGAGTTGGTCAATAGAGATGTGATATTTTTAAGTTTGTTCAGATAAAGATATCAGCTCGAGAACCACCGAAGACCAGGGAGTACTGCGCAGCTGTTTTTTGCAGTTTGGGACTAGGGTTTTGAATAAGAATTACTAACTCCCATTTGCCACCAACACATTGACTTTTTACGCTTTATACTACTGGTAATACTGAATGCAAGATCAACTGCAGAAACTATAGATCATAAACATCAAAAGACGCGATGTCCTTAAATCACGTACTGATTAATATAGTATTACGAAAGTAGTAATGGGACATGGACGAATGTACGTCTTTCTGAAGTGCGGTTTCTGACGGTTAAAGAAACTGAATTAACAAAAACAGTATTGTATGAATTTATCCAAACCAGAACGAGATGCATATATGAGCACTTTACATGGGTAAAAATAATGATACATAAGTGCGTCGGTGGCACAGTGGTTAGGACTCTCGCCAACCATGCACATAGTCCGAGGTTCGATTCCCTACCGGCGCACACCTGATATCTATGGTCGGCCTGCGAAATTTGGGCTACCGATATCCATGCTGAAAATTCCATACTTGTACCAAAAATGCAGTGTGGAATCAAGCTGTAAATCAAAAATATTTAAAAAAATAAATTCCCACCGCGCATTGTGTTCGGTGATGGAACATAAGCGTAAGCGACCTGTAGTTCACTGAATTTAGTACATTTGCCACCGAACGAATGTGAAATTCGAGTTCCAATCTATCTATTTTAGCTTGAGTGACTGGATATTAACACTAGTGGCTTCAAGCTTGGAACATGCAAATCCGTAATGGATGCATCCGCTTCATGTGTATTGCGATAAAAATTACTGTCCCATCTGTATACTTAGGTCTGAAATATTCATTTATCTGGTCCACCCTATATAATATATGTCTGAGTTTACTTTGCATTTATCAATGTTGAACATCACAACTGACTAGTCAAAATTTCCACCTCTTCAACTCAACAGGTCACATACTCAAAACCAGGAAGGTGAACTTCAATTGCAGAGAGATAGACAATTGACAGTACTGAGTCTCCACCTAACTGCATAAAACAGTAAATACAATAGTATCTAAAAAGATTTTGGAAACCTATAGTATTTTACAGCGGAACAAGTTTGAAATAATACGTGGCATAGTAATGTGCCTGTAACTAACTGTTTCAATATTGCTTTGTCGGTTTCATTTAAATTCCTTATCACATATCTAAATACTTTATCTTTCAGGAAGATTATTACTGAAAAATATGTTCACCCTAGGTAACTTTGAAGATACACTCTGCATTAATTCTTGGCACACAGGAAGTTCCTTAGGTTCGAAAAATTAAGCTTTGATGAGGTAGCATCAGGTCTGTAAATTAATTCAACACAAAAGACATGAAACTCACTTTCTTTTAGTATTATTGATATTCCAACAAACAGTAACGCAAAAATTTAGATACTATGCGCCTTTTCAACCCAATGTCCAATATCATTTTCTGATCCTCATTTTGGGGTACTTGAACTCGAGTTTTCATTAACGGTCTTTCAGTAAATAACCACTTCTACCTGATATTTTCTAAACGGTATGATTGGCAGCACAGACTCCACTTCTAAGTGTTAGTTCTAGGAGTTAACGGCACAATGGGAGGACAAGAACTCCGAAACGATATGGTTATTCGTTGACTTCTGAACTCTACTACTGCCTATTCCGAGATGTTAGAACCTGGTATAAAAGAAAAGAGAGGATGGGTTGGGCCTATGATAACTTCTTCGGACTCTATAGTCGTGATTTCGCCTCCTCTATACTAGTGGCATGATAAAAGTGATGATGTGCTGTGGTAAATTGGCCATATCAGTAATCGCACACATGGCCTTGTCTTGAATCTTTCCCATAATATATGAGTCCCCTTTGAGAAAACGACTCTCCACCCGGATGCAGTTTTCTTCTTAATACTTCGACAGAGATGCATATGTAACGGTGGACATTTCACTTGCGATCTTAGTAAAGGATTCAATTAGTGCCAAAGAGAATCTGAAGCTACCATCCGCCACTGAGCTGCAGTATTTTTAAGTTATGACCTACTAAGACATCTAAAACAGTGTGAATTAAAAATGATAGGAGTGACATTCCTGTGTATCGTAAGGTGATACTAGTGTACCTGGTGGAAACGGTTGCACACTTCGCTACGTAGATGTGAAACAAACATTATTTGTAACAACCGAATAGCTTATTCCGATAATTTTACTGAGTAAGTATGTGACCATCATCATCCGGCCCTCCGAAAGTCTAGATAGAGAATTATAGCAAATTGGTTGCTTGAATTTATCTCACGCAGCCTATATATCAGCTTTCAATCATCTGATGACGTTACAGAACCAATAGCATTTATGTAGCTTGTTCACACTGTGATCGACCTGGAGTTTCGACCTGGAATGCTGCACAATCTAATCCAGAGAATAATATTGTGTTCACTATGTGATGCATCTAATAAGTCAATTAATATGCAACGAGCATCTATGATGAAATCCTGTACCATTAACACCTCGAGTTTAAGTCTTTACCCGAAGGCTGACCAGTCTTTTCAATCTAACGGCGTGGTGTAGGTAAGGAACTGCTCGTCAGTAGAGTGTAAGAATGCGAAATAACATGGTTCAAGCAGTTTCAAGCATGCTGCTTTGCTCTTAGTAAAGCATCATTGTGGTCATACGCTTCAGGATATCATGATATAGCCCCTACTGACTTTTTAATATTCATCTGTAACCTATGAAATCCGAAGAATTACGTGAGACTGCATCAGTCACCAATCGAATGCCACGCGGAACCAGTGGATAATTAACCACACGTGAGCCTGATTAACGAGCCTAAATGCTGCAAACATTACTTAACCTATCAACCTTACCTAACCCTTATAATTGCTAGATCTACTCTAAACAAAGTACAGATTCTCGGGGCACACACTGGTGTATAAACCCCCAACAATTATTATTACTGAATCTTGGTGCCACTGCACTGTACCAGACGAAGAAATAAGCATGGATGGGTACACACCTTTTCGATGTGACAGGAATAGTGGTAAGGAAGGAGACTACCTCATGTACTTCCTGAACGCCCTGTATTGCAGCTAGAATATAGGGAACTTAACAACATGTACGACACTCTGTGGACCGACGTACACCTTAAAAGTCCTGCAATGCTTCCAATGATGTAATATCCGTAATTCTATTTAATACCATTTTTCAATTTCCCAGGATGTTCTTCTCTTCCCGAAATAGCTCTCAATCACGTGGTGACTCAGCACTTACCCAAATACCCGCTGTTCACTGCTTGACCATAACTATCAGCATGAAAGGGAACG